AGAGAGAGAGAGAGAGAGAGAGAGAGAGAGAGAGAGAGAGAGAGAACCCGCTTCTCGGCGGGCGGACCCAGGCACCCGAGACTCGCGCGTGCCGGTCGCCGGCTCCCCCGAGAACAGCCGCAGGCAGGCGGTGCGTCTCCGCCTTCCCCGGGCAACGCACGCCGAACCTGCCCCGGGCTCAGCCTCGCACGGAAACTGGGCTCTGGACTCCGCCATCCGGGCTGGAGCGAGCACGCCTCTCTCCCCCGGGGCCTGGGGCCGACCCTGCCCAGCGCGGGCACCCGCGCGCGACCACAGATAACCCTCCTGCTCTCGGCCAGCTCCAGGCCACGGGGAGCCGGACGTGAGCCCCGCGGCCAGCCTGCACCGCCGGTGGCAGTCCGGGCGCGCGGCCACCTACGCGTCCCCGGGTCCACTATCCCACACATAAACAACCCCTCCCCCCCCCCCCCCGCCCCCCCCGCCCTTCGAGTCCCCAAAGCTGTCCTCCCACCTCCAGCCCCCGCTGGAAACCACAAGGTGTCAAGGGAACGAAGGGGGGAGGTCACAACACAGTCTGTGGGGGGTTCCATCCAGACGATTTTCAAGCTCTTCCACCTCGAAAGTTACTTAGGATCCAGCGAAGAACCCCTGTCCCCAAATGCTAGGGCTGAGAACGCGAGGGGCAGAACCCATCCTCTGGCTTCCCTTGGCACACGGGAGCGCACCTCCCCAACCCGCAGGGCACACGGCCGCCCTGGGGGACCAGCTCTCCAGTGCTTCCCGGGGGGCCCCCGGCACTGCTTGGGGCCCTGGGCCGCGCAAGGGGTGGTGGCCAGGAGAGGGGCGCACACGCCTCGGCACGGCCCAGCTCTGCCGGGCTCCGGGGTCACATATGCTTCCAGCACCTTCCATCACCGTGACAGTCGCCCCCCAAAGCATTCCCTGCATAACACACCCGGGGGCAGGAAGTTTCCCCCCCCCCCCCCGTTTTTTCCATCCCCGGAGCAGCGCAGGCGCAAGGGCTCCTGCAGGCTTGCGAGTCCAGACGCGGGAGGCTCCAGCTCCGGCCGCCGCTGCTACCAGAGCCGAGCCCAGCGTTCCGGGCTCCGGGCCCCACTCTCAAGTCCTGCCCGGCCCAGCAGCTCCTAGGACCCTGGGAACACCCCCCACCCTCGCCTCCCCGCCCCGCTCCGCATCCTAAGAGCCCCAACCTGCCCCGCTCTTACCTGCGGCCGCGCCGCTCCGGCCCCGGCCCGACGCGCAGGGAGCCCAGGGTCGCGGATGGGTGCAGGGGGACTGATGGCTAGGGGACGGCGCCGGCGGGTGGCGGTAGCTGGGGCCGCTCGCGTCCTGGCCGAGAGGAATGGATCCAGGTCCACCCCCTCGCGTTCCTGCTCTCCGCCTTCTTCCCGTTTCCCTCCTCCTCCTCCTCCTCCCCCGCCGCCGCCGCCGCCTCCCGGCAGCCCAGGGAGGATGCCCGGGAGAGGGAAGTCGGTCCTTCTGCCTGGCAGCCTGCGCGGCTACGCGCGGTGCGGCGCGGCTCTCATCGAGGCGGCGGCGGCGGCGGCGGCTCCGGCAGCATCGCCCCCGCCCTCTCCCCGCAGCCGCGGCGGCCGCGGGGCTGGGGCTGGCGGCTCCGGGCTCCGGGCTCCGGGCTCCGGGCGGGGGCTGAGCTCAGGCTCGGCGATGGCCGGGGCCGGGACTGGAGCTGCGGCTGGCTCGGCGGCGGCGGGGACAGTGGCGGCGGGGACGGCGGCGGCGGCGCGGGGGTTGGCGCGGCCGCGGCACGGGGACCATGCTCCCTTCTGGCTCGCTCCTCTCCGGGTACCGTCTGCTTTAGCTGCGAGGGAGGCGGGCTTCGGCGCGCAGCCAGGGGCGGGCGGAGCCAATCACGGACGCCCGAGTGGGCGGGGGCGGGGGGTGGGGGAGGCGGGGCGCCCCCGGCCCGGCTTAGCGCTGGGCTCTCGGGGCCCCAGGGATCCCCGGCAGCCGCGCGCCGGGCCCCGGGCTCGGTGCCAGCGGGTGTGTCCATCGTCCGCTCGCCGCCCCCGCCCCCACGCCGTGACTCCCGGCTCGCCCGGCTCCGTGGCGGCTCCGGATAGACTCCCGGCGCGTGGCGGGGCTTCTGGGCCATGGCCTCCCGGTTCTGAGAGTCCAGGGTTGAAGCATCCGGACCGAAGGGAGCTTCCATTCTGCTCCCTCAACACCTGAGGAAACTGGTGGAAAAGTTTGAGGAAGAGAAGTCCAATCGTCTGCCAGCTTCCGCCCTTTCTGTGACACCACGGCCACGAGAAGGAGCAGGAAACGTCCACATCTCCGGAGGACCACCGTGAGCCACGCCAATCCTGTCTTCTTGCATCTGCCCTGCCTCCCGGAGCATGTGCGAACTTTTCTGTTTTCACAGACCTCCCTGGGCTGCCCAGACCACACAGGCCTGTCTGCCTGCTCTGACACTCCAGCTGCAGCCACTACCCAGCCAGCCCTCCCAAGGTCCACACTGACTGAGCCTTCCCCTCTCCCTGTGCGTGCTGTCTACGCAGACCCTAAGTGGAACACTAAGAGAAACTTTGGCTGAAGACCTGTGGCTACCGGCTGGGGGCTTTCTCATCCCGACAGAACATTTTTTTTTTCTTTGCCTGTCTTCCTTGGCTTACTAACTCTGCAGGTCTGTTTCTAATTCCCAGATTCAAAGCTCCCCTTGCCTGTTTTGAGATTCGGAGGGAAAGCCTGTGACTCGGTTCCCCCCCATCCTCCAGACCAGTCTGAAGGTTATGGTCCATGGTCCGAGGGTTCGTTTTCCCCCCTTCATTTCTCTACCCGTTACTCCTCCCCACAAATACTCTGAGGCCTGGTTAGAAATTGGGGATGGTTAGGTAATGGGGGGGGGGCGTGTAGCTGGTTCTTTGGGCCGATCTGGGAGGGTTTGTCTGAGGAGGCTTTGCTAGGCTGCACCCAGGTCTTTGCCAGGGAACAGGGAGGACTTTGTCAGAGGTCCTTTCTGTCAGCGGCCTCCTGTGATGTTAGATCCACAGCTCTGCTGTTTCGTCTGTGAACTCGGTGCAAGGGTTGTGTATCCTTCAACATCTCATAGGAAGCACAGTACAGTGTCATGTCTGATAAATAATAAATAATAATAATCTACTGAAGGTAGCAGAACTGTCAGAGAAGAGAAGAGAAGACAGCAGGGAGAGAGCCCATTGGTGTTACAGTGACTGCATTTCCTGGGGGGGGGGATATCACATGAAGTTTTGGTGTATGAAAGCTTGACAGGTGGGTTGGGGGTGCAGAGTGCTTGTATCCCACAGGAGGCTACCCCATGACAGGAATTCAATGTGACATTAAGACAGTGACAGAGGCTCTTCAAAGGGAGATAGGGTGGGAGCTGGAGGGAAAAGCAGCTCTGAGAGGTCCTCAAACTACGCCGGAAGGTGAATGATAGGTGTGGCATGAATACTAAGTTGGCAAGATAGTGAAAGAGGTACCAGAGGGGAGAGAAGCAGGGGTCACTTGAGATTCGAAATAGATGCAGAGGCAACATCTCAGCCAGAGAGAAGAGCGAGGCCACGGGCATGCCAGTTGCGTGGGAAGCCATTCTCTGAGATGATCTGCGTGTGCTCACCGACAGTGAACACATCACAGGAGTCCACCAGCTAAATTCCGGGCAGCTTCCCGTACAATAGCTGTTGGCACTACAGAATGTGGCCAAGGTTTGTAGAGTCTGAAATAGGTTAAATGCTGGCAATTTGGACATGAGTCATTTCTGACCAACTGTTTTGAACAATCCTCAAGTGAATATTCATTGGGACAGCACATTCCGGGAATCCGTCCTCAGCTCTCTTTAGGTGAGGATAGAAAAAGTCTCCCAATTATCAGTCGACTTGGGGAGGGGCATGCATGCAGAGGGTGGAGGAAGGGAGGGATTGGGACGGGAGGAGGGAGGGAACCACAGGGGGCATACAAAGTGAATAAAGTGTAATTAATAAAGAAAAAAAAGATAAAAAAATTCTCCCAGTTGACTTGCTATGCATTGTCAGAAAAGAGGGGCAGGCCAGCATCTTCGCCTAGAGGAAGGCTTTCTTTGGTTAGCAACGCCTGCTCATAAGGAGGTCAAAATGCCAGGGGAAAAAAGATGAGCTATAGGGATTAGAATGACGGAGGGTGTGTTCACACATGTCTCATCTTACCCTCATTTCATCTGAGCCTGAATGCAAATACGATTTGGAGAAACCACATCTTCTTTTGTGGAATCACGTCTAGCTGCCAGCTATTTGCTGTGAAGCTTGGCTGCTTGTACACAGGTCTGCCCTTGTGCTGGTTGGCTTCTGTTGTTGTTGCTGAACTGATACAAGCTAGGGTTATTTCATAAGGTGGAACCCTGATTAAGAAAATACTTCCATCTGCATGATCAGTAGGAAAGTCTGTGTGATGTCATATGTGGCAGGGTCAGAGCCCTTAGAGGGTTCAGGACAGCCTATTGGTGAATGTGCAGCCTCAGTTGCAGTGGAGACCCCAGGACCGTGGGATAACTACCAAGGATGGTGGCACATGTGAGGTGAACTGGCTTAAGCCTAGGAGAAAAGCCAAACGTGCGTGGCAGAGCTTGAGAGATGGATCTACCCAAGTCATTTGGAGCCCAGAAGCTTGTGCCTTCAGGATGTTGAACACTGAGTTATTTACAATGCTGGAGTTTGGTTTTGCTTTGCTTTGCTTGTGACCGTGCCTCGGTCTTTCTTATTGTAGTAAGAAAGTATTTAAGTTGTTTCATTTTTATTTTGTAGGAACCCACAGCTGAGAAGCTATAGACTTCAAAAGAGGTGTTGGGCTTTTATAGAGAACGTGGACTTTTAAAATGTTGAAAAATTAAAAAAAGATGGTTATATTGAGTTTTATATTGTGATATAGCAGGGGATCTTGGAATAAACGAGACAGAAGAGGCTATTGGTTTAATAGTGATGTGTTTGTGTTTCGGATTGACAAGAGATCAATTGTGCTGTTTTGTTTTGCTTTTTTTTTTTTCCAACTTGACACAGGCTAGAGTCATTCGGGAAGAAGGACCCTCAACTGAGGAAATGCCTCTATCAGAGTGGCCTCTGGGCAAGTCTGTGGTGCATTTTCTCCATTAATGATTGATGTGAGAAGGCTCAGCCCACTCTGGGTGTGCTTTCCCTGGCCAGGTGGTCCTGGGTACCTTAAGAAAGTAGGCTGAGCAAGCCATAGTGAACAAGCCAGTAAGCAGAACTCCTCTTTCGGCCTCTAGGATTCTGCCTTGAGGTCTTGCTCTGATGTCCCTTCATAAGGGACTGTGAGCTGTAAGATCAAATAAACCCTTCCTCCCCAGATGCTTTTGGCTATGGTGTTTATCGAAGCGATAGGAAGCAGCCTAGAGCAGCCCCGGTCTACTCATGAACTCCATTTCCGCTGGATCATTGTAGTTCATCCCAGCACTCCCAATGCACACAGGAGCCCGAGTCCATGCTGTGTGAGAGATCTCTTACCTGCCTTCATCGATCTCACTTGGGTCTACATTTGTTCCAGGTAGCTCACTCCCCTGTTCTGTGTTCCCCGGGACAAGCTCCACATCTGCCATGGATCTCTCTGCATGGTACTTGGGACCTGTTGGTTGTGCACAAAGACCACTCCTGTCATAGTTGAGGATTTCTCCATTGGCTCTGTGGCATGCATTCCCATGGCCGGCCCTTCCTGTGCTGAAGCATAAGCTAGAATCTAAGGTCAGGATTAATACACACTCATCAAGTGTCCGGGATAGGAAAGAAGGGACTCATAATACACAGTGAAGTACTTTGGGACACTCCAACGCATTCATCTCCTACTGAGTGTATGGCATTCTTTGTGCAGCCAGACAGGAGCTTTGTGCTGGAAATCCCCTGCTCTTATCTGTAGGAAGCCACCATCAGGATGACCAGGGAGTCACACATACCTTCTGTGCCAGGATGGACTTTTCCTTTTATTTCTATTTATAGCAACAAACTCAGCAGCATGAACACTTGCTTGGTAGCCAAGCACCGTACCAGTGTCTCTTATTAATGCCACCTTCTCGGTCATCATTGCAACCTGTAGAATTGATATGATCAGCTGCCTAAATCCAGGGAGGGCAAGATGAGCTCCTGCAGCCACTCAGCAAGCAGGTAATAGAACTGGGATTTTAGCCTGCTTACTTCCAAAGCTATTGGGTTTTGTTGTTGTTGTTGTTTTGTTTTGTTGTTGTTTGTTTTGTTTTTGTTGTTGTATTTTGTTTTATCTTTCACTCCACTTAAAATACCAATGCAATTTCTTTTGCCTTTAGCTCAGCATCTTGCCCTTGCAGTGGATACTGTGGATGCTTATTTTTGCCTTTACTCATAGTCAGTTCTGAACCCAGAACTAGAAACAGTTTTAGAATACAGAGCACTCATGAAGACGAGGGGCAAGTGTCTCTTCGATTCCTGAATGCATGGGTTCCTTGGAAGAGTGGAAGCCTCGTCAGAACCCTCAGGTTTGACAGGACATCTATCTCCAGCAGCACAGTGGATATAAACAGAGCAGCTGCCAGCCTCTATGCTAGCTGGAGTTTGTATTTCCATCACAAACCTGTTTTTTTTTTTTTTTTCTAATGTTTCCACTAAAACCACCCATACTTGGCATCAAAAGCATTAATAATTCCTACCTAACCAACCAACTGTTCTTCCAGTGACTAAATCAGTCTATAAAAATCCGTTTAGCACCTACTGTCTGTCTTGCAATCTGACCCCACACCGTTGACTGAAAAGGGAAGTAAGTCACAATTGCTGAATTGTTTGTGGGGCCACCTTACTCTGTGATGTGTCACAAAGGCGCATGCCAACCATTTAAGCTGGGCACTCTTAATGGCATAAGATGGTTTGATTGTTATCATCTTCACCCTGCTTATTCCCCAAAAGGGATTAAGGCAACTAGATAAGATTTTTGACTTGTTCATGATGAAGCTTAGAATAACAACAGTGTTAGCAAGAAATATAACTTAGTACTTAGACTGGGGGTCGGGGAGAGGTGCTCTCCAAGTGTGAAGGTGGTCACTGACATCCCCAAGAGTAAGGCTGGTCAGGATGGCTTACTGGAAGTGGCAGGTTCTAGCAGATCAACGGTACTACCAGCATTAGATTAAGGGGCTGATTCTAAATAGTTTCTGAAGCATAACTCATTGCTAAAGCCCGTTTTTTTTTGGGGGGGGGTGTGTGAAAATGAAAGTAAAACTCTGTTGCCTAAATCAGTGAAATATTAGATTCCAGGGCTCCGAATGGAGCTCATGCTGTCTTATTTTGGGAGTTCTCAATGGCAAGAATGTGGCACCTTTTTTAGTACCACTTGTTTGCAGGTGGCAGGCGTGCTAATTAAACAGAGCCACCAACAATTTTCCTGGGTGGCTCTGACTCCCAAACTGGCAGGAGACATAATCTGTGTATTTCTGAGATCAGCTTCTTCTCTCCCCATTGATGCCTTTACTGTAGCGGAGGTAGGGGGAGGGGAGGGGTGGCGTTGGAGGGAGGCAACTCAGAACATAGTTATTGGTTGATGAATTATTTATAATGATCAAACCTCAACTTTACTTTTCAATGTTTAAGAAGAGGCCAGTGTTTATGACAGAGTATAAAAATAAAACCCAAATGATTGGTTGGATCTGGAAAAGAAAATTTAATTGCATTTTAGAAGATTCTTTTACTCACCGATGCCTGCTCAGTAAGGATAAAAATTCAGGAGACTTTTGAGAGAGGATTGAGCCCCGATGGCTTCTGACATTTCTACGCTGTTTTTAAGAATAAAGAGGCAATGAGCTTGCCTGACCCCTGCTGTGTTTCTGAGTCCATTGATGCCACTGTTTGTCAACTCCCTCTGGGTTTTTGGCAGGGCTGAAGGCTGGGATCATGTCATGACTGGTCATTTTGAAGCCTTGAATTAGACCAGAGGCAGGGCAGGGACCTCCTATCTAGAACAGTGACCGAGATTGTTCCTTGTTTTATTTATTTACTTTTTCCATTTGTTTATTAGTTTTTGACAATTTAATACACGTGCATAATATAATTTGGTCATTTTTATCCCTCATCCCTCCTGCTTCCTCCCTTTCCCTTCCCACTCCTGAACTTTCTAAGTCTCCTTCCTTTTCTCATGTTGTTTGTTTGTTTGTTTTGTTTTTAGTGACCCGCTGGGTTTAATTAGGGTTGTTTACATGAGCATGAGGAGGAGGTTATTTACTGGAGCATGGGTAACTAGGCAGTGGCTACAGCATGGAAGAAAATGACTCACGGCTCCCAGCAACCATTAATTGCCGAGAGAGCTTCTGGGAGGTGTGGGGCCTCCTTATCCATTCAGGAGTGTCCACAGGCCCCATCTTTTGTGGGTCTTGTGCAGGTAACCACAGCTGTTGGGAGTTATGGGTGTAATGCTTATGTCATATCCAGAAGACAGAGTTCACACCGTTCTCTTTCATCCTCTGTCTCTTGTTGTCTTTTTGTTCTCTTAATTGAATAAATAAAGCAGTGTTTCTCAACCTTCCTAATGCTGCCACCCTTTAATACATACAGGTCCTTATATTGTGATGACCCGCAACCATAAAATTATTTTTATTGCTACTTTATAACTGTAAGTTTGATACTGCTATGAATCAAAATGTTAATATCTGCTATGTGACCCCTGTTGAAAGGGTCATTAGACACTCCCCCCCCCCCCAAGGGATCTAGACCCAGAGGTTGAAAACCATTGCTTTACTGCCAGGTTCCATGGTCATCACTACAATTCAGGCTGTCTGGGTATGCCATAGTCCCTATGTGCTTTGGAGGAATAACACGCAGAGAAAAAAAGGAACATAGTGTCCAGCTTTAGGCAGCAAATCTCATTTCTGTCAGCCACTTAACAATTGAGTCTGGGCCAAGGCTTTGTCTAAGGAGTTACTGTTTGCACTTTCAAAGCAGGGGCATCCTGTGGCTCACACAGGTAACACACAAGTCCCTTCCTCTAGGGAACACAGCCTTTATTTTCTCCACAAATGGAAAGACTGAGAATGAGATGTCTAAGAGGCAATGGAGTTTTGCCGTATATCTGTTTTAGCAGTGTCAAGCATCTAATGGTTTTAGCTGCTTGGGATATTTTGGAATATGTGAAATTTCACTTTGTCTTCCTATTGATCTCTTGCAGAACTTCTGAAGCTGCACTACACACTTTCTGTACCCAGGAGGAAGAACTCCTGAATACATGGCCAGTGGAAAGATGAATGTCAACAACATGGCACAGAGGCTTCACTGCTGGAACCAGTGGTGACAAGGTAAGAGGAAAAATGAGTTATTTAGCCTCATAAAAGGTCATTGAGTCAGAGGACTAATATTGAGTATATACAAAGAACTAAAGAAGCTGAAAAGCAGCAAACCAAGTAATCCAATTAAAAAAATGGGGAACAGAGCTAAACAGAGAATTCTCAACAGAGGAATATCGAATGGCAGAGAAACACTTAAAGAAATGCTCATCCTCATTAGCCATCAGGGAAATGCAAATCAAAACGACCCTGAGATATCACCTTACACCCATCAGAATGGCCAAGATGAAAAACTCAAGGGACAACACATTCTGGAGAGGTTGTGGAGAAAGGGGAACCCTCCTCCACTGCTGGTGGGAATGTAAACTGGTACAACCACTCTGGAAATCTATCTGGCACTTTCTAAGACAATTAGGAATAGTGCTTCCTCAAGACCCAGCTATACCACTGCTAGGTACATACCCAAACTTTGCTCAAGTACACAAAAGGGATATTTGCTCAACCATGTTTATAGCAGCTTTATTTGTAATAGCCAGAACCTGGAAACAACCCAGATGTCCATCAACGGAGGAATGGGTACAGAAATTGTGGTATTTTTACACAATGGAATACCATTCAGCAATCAAAAAGGAGGAAATCATGAAATTTGCAGGCAAATGGTGGGATCTAGAAAAGATCATCCTGAGTGAAATATCCCAGAAGGAGAAAGACAAACACGGTATATACTCACTTATATAGACCTATAAGATATGATAAACATAATGAAATCTGTACACCTAAAAAAGATAATCAAGAGAGCGGACATGGGGTAAGATTATCAATCTTCGTTTAGAAAGACAGATGGGATGCGCATTGAACGTATGACAGGAGTCTACTGAGCGCATTTGAAAGACTCTAAGTAGCAGTGTTTTCAAAGCAAAGACTCATGACCAAACCTTTGGCAGAGTACAGGGAATCATATGAAAGAAGGGGAGTTAGTCTGATGAGGAAAGGATAGGAGCTCCACAAGGACCAAATATATCTGGGCACAGGGTCTTCTCTGAGACTGACATGCAACCAAGGACCATGTATGAATGTAACCTAGAATCTCTACTCAGATGTAGCCTGTGGTAGCTCAGTAACCAATTGGTTTCCCATAGTGAGGGGAACAAGGACTATTTCTAACAGGAACTCAATGACTGGCTCTTTGGCCTCCCCACCCCCCAAGAGAGGAGCAGTCCTGTTAGGCCACAGAGGAGAGCTTTGCAGCCAGTCCTGAAGATACCTCATAAAACAGGATCAGATGAATGGGGAGGAGGTCCCCCCTATTAGTGGACTTGGCAAGGAGCATGGTGGAGATGAGGGAGGGAGGGACTGTGAGGGAATGAGGGATCGGGACAAGGCTGGGATACAGAGTTAATAAAATGTAACTGATAAGAAAAAATAAAATTCAAAAAAAAAAAAAAGGTCATTGAGTGTCCATTGCATCCTACCACATGTCTTAAAATAGCCTCAAATTTGTGATACAAGCCACCATCTGGTCCAAGAGTACCTTGCTGTAAGAAAACATGAGGAGAAAATTCTAAATGATGAAGCAGAAAGGCTGCTAGCTTTCAGGCCGAAATGGTGCATGAGCTTCCCCTTTCTCTTGGATGCTCAGTTGGTGGCTGTTTTACCGAAAATCCCACTCACATACAACTGCTCAGAAACACATCATTTTTATTTATTTTAGCCTCACCACTTATCGACTTCTAAGAGGTCTGAAGCAACTCACAGGTTAAAACACACGGTGAAAGGAGATCTTCAAGAGTGAAGCAGAGTAGATGGCACCTAAAAGGAAGAGCTGGGGAGGAAACCTCAGGCCAAAGTATAAAAAGCAGCTCAATTAGGCTGTAGGGGGAAATGGAGCAGGCAGGCCCCATCATCTGAGTATACAAAGAAAGGCACATTTTTATCATGTCATAAACTGCTCAGAGTGGAAACTACTTAGACATGATACTGTTGTCACTGGAAGAATGGAGTATTCTTGAGATAAAAAAAGGTTTCAGCCTTAGCACTCTGGAAAGGAAGTGTTTTGCTACCACAACCCTGTACAATTATGCTCTTCATGACTCTCAAAGCTTTGAACAATATTTACCAGAGGGTTTTCATTAAAAGACCTGATTCTTTATAGGTTGTCTTGGTGCAGATTCAGGGAAAGGGGTAGATGAGATGCATCCTGTAGATGGCTGTGCATCTTTCTGTGCAGCAACAGATGTCTTCTCACGGCCCTCCAAGCCCTCAGTCATGTCAATATGGTTTCAGACAATTTCACGGTTACCTTGAGAGTTTTGGATGATATAAAGGCCTAGTAGAAACAATTAGAATTTAACATAAAAAATAGATGGACTTAGACTTAAAGCCTCAAAATTTGAATATTTGTTTGGGTTCTGTTATTTGTACACCAATCTACAGGATAAGTTCAGCTCAACAGAACTTGAGATTTCAAAATGGTGGCAGATAAAATCCCATAATTATGATCAAGACTCTTTTATTGGGAATAAAGAATGACATGCGGTGGTGCATGCATATGTGTGGTTCAGACGCAGTGGACCCGTGAGTTAAGGTGAAAGAATATGAAATAAGGAGGCACCAATGATGAAAATGCCAGTAACAGCAGACATTCATTTAGCACTTATATATGTCAGACACTGCTCAAAACTCCTTTTCCTTTCTTCCCTTCTTAAATGTTAAATTGTTTTTCTTAATCCTTACGTCAAATCAATGAATCCCGAGTATAAAATTTTCAGTGCAGACACACAGGGAGAAGGGAGATAGATAGCCTGCCATTAACAGGGAGTTTGAGCCATCCAACAGGTGGGGAATGTGGTTGGTTCCTTGTAGACACAGTTTCAAACTCACAAATGGAAATTGCACTGTACTTTCCCCCAGGTAAACTCCAGGTGCTCTTGGCTGATGGTTGCATCTCTGGTGCTGCTGAAGTCTGACCTGAAGTTTGGAAATTAATGTGACAATGAGCATAACAGGCTCAGTCATAGTAAGCATCACCCAAAATTCTTAAAAATAGCAAATATTCATTGTCTTCTACAGTACCAGGAGTCCCAGAGCACAGCTGGGTGGTTCGGGGGCTTAGGAATTCTCACAAAGTTGTAGGTAGGTATCAGATGGCATTGTAAAATCAGTATTCCTGAAATCTAGGAAAAACACTGAACTATGTCCATTCATCTACTCACGGGCCTCAAAGAATCTGAGAATCTAAGAATGTTGAGATTTCCAGCCCCTGAGATGATACACAGAAATTCCCAACTCTTTCTGCAGACATTTATTTTGTGTAGGAATATGTGTAGATGCATCATGTGTATGAGTGAGGGTGCACATGCCAGGACACATTTCTGGAAGCTAGAGGAAAGTCAGTTCTCTCCTCCTACCGTGTGGGCTCCAGGGATGAAATCAGATCATCAGCTTTACATACTGAGCCATGTCACTGGCCCAGGGATTCTGAACTCTTAAGGCTGGACTAAGACAAAGGATTCATTTCCAAGTTTTTCAGTGAGACTTTTGGATGTAGAACTTAGGCCCTTGTCAATGAGTATATCTTTGCATGGCTCCTTCAAGGTGTGGAATCAAGTGTGCGTGTGTGTATTAAAGAGAAAGAAAGTCAGAGAGAGAGAGAGAGAGAGAGAGAGAGAGAGTTAGACTTCAGACAGAAAGCATCTTGGAGGCTGGCCATTTCAACAGTTATCACAGATTCCATTTTGTTCATTAAATTGAAGAATAAGCATTACAGGATGTACTTCCCGGATCTCAAGAATTCAGGATTTTGAAGATCTTAAAAAACATTAGGGAATGGTAAAGTTGAAAATGAAGACGTCTCAAGAAGGCAGGGGTTATTCTAGTGGAATTCTTTTCATTTAATTTTTATTTTTTCTTCACAATTTATTCATTATATATCCTGATTGAAGCTCCCTCCCTCAACTCCCCTGGTCCTACTGTCCCTCCCTCTTCCCCTCATCCCCTTCCCCTAGTCCACTGTAGAATTCTTAATGTGTAATTACCAGGGTTGGAATACCTGTTGTTGAGATCACAGTGGCTCATGAGGAAGGTCACCTTTGGGTAGAGTGGAAAGGGGGGGATGAAGGGGCACACAAACTTTTGCTAATTAAGTTAATCAAGGCAGCAAAATTGTAAGCACAATGGAAAGCTTTTCTTATTTGTCATGAGTAGAAAATAATAAAAAGGGACAGATAAGTGATTGCAGAAAGTTGTCTAATGGTAAGGATTTCTGCAGAGCAAACTCTTACTGAGTGCCACCGTGTACCAGGCAAGGTGCCAGATGCTGAGGATACAGAGATAATTAAAAAAAGGACACTGCCCTTGAGGTTATCCCTGTCTAATGGGATAGCAAAGCGAAGTGAATGCCACTCAGCATGATCAATACCATAATAAGATGCAGTCCAGGTAAAACGGGAAGGGGGGGGGGAGGAAAGGCTCCATCAGTGCCCCCTAAGGGCAGGTGAGTGATGGAAGAATAACTTCGCCCAAGAATCTTGGATAGTAGGAATTTGCCAAGCAGTCAAAAGGAAGAAAGGTAGAGAAAACAAGAGCCACCCAACATGCAGGTGGAGCAGAACATGTGAGCTGGGGAGGCTGTTGGTACATTATTTGGGTACAGCAAGTTAATCAAGATAATTTGAGAGCAACATGAAGACCACTCTGTAAAGAGCCCTGGGAACCTGAACAGAACTCAGAATGGGCAGAGCAGAGTTGTACAAAGCATGACCTACTTAAGAATCAAGAGAGAATCTTGAAAATACAGAGTCTAACCTCTTTTCCACTTTGGCAGATTCTTCACCATAATTCTCTTCCTACACTACACTCCCCAGACTCCTTTGCAGCTAGACTACATTTCCCACCACCCATTGCAGCTATGCTATTTCCATAGCCTCCTTTACAGTTAGGTGGTCTAGCCAATGGCACACAAGTGGGAGTAATCTATGCCATCTGACCTGACCCATTAAAATTTGACCTTTATGTTCTCCATTCTTTTTCTCCTCTTTAAAAAAAAAATGTTGTAGACAAACACAAGCACCTTAGAAGTTCAGTTTGAAGACTGTCAGATCATCAAACTTGGAGAAACCTTTGGAGAATGATTGCCCACTGATCTAGTACGTTTATTTGGATACTTTATGAGAATGAAAAATAAATTCTGTTACTGAGCTACCGTCCACATTGGGATGAGTTTCAACACCTGCTCTTAACAGAGCAATTGACTCAGCCTCCGAGAAGAGATTTGGAGAAATAAATAAATAAATAAATAAATAAATAAATAAATAAATGTAAAATATATATTATATAGCACATTATTATATTATATATAACACATATTTTACATATATACTCTGGGAGAGTTTGAGAATTAGTGCTGGAGGCAAAGTAGACCCAGGCATTTGCAGATTTATGGCAGACCAAGTAACACAATGCTGTTACTTGTAGAAAGGGGTGGAGAGAGAAGAATTTTGCCTCCTTATTTTTGCCAAAGAGAGCAATCTGCTGGCTGAAAAAGAAAAGAGAACTTTGGTGAGAGAAAATTGAAGTTTGAGATGAGTAAAGATATCCTAACAGCACCAAGCTGCTGTAATTGAGCTCAAGTCTCTGGGCCAGGACAAATTATACTCCAGGGAGTAGAGATAGCTCAGGGCTGAAGATGTAGTATAGATCTTCACTGGTAATGCTTAAGGAATGTAGAGACTGAAAGAAACTGGGATACTAGGGATGACAAAACAGCTCTGAGTTTTAAAGCTGGGGAAAGAGCTTGCAACTACAGAGGCAAGTTTCTTCCATCCATCTTCATTAAATTCTTGGATCAGATTATTGAGGGTAATTCATGAGCACATAAAAAATGGGGCAGAACTCTCTAGAAGCCAAAAGCAAAACCCCAACAAAGTAGCTGTATTCCCAGTTCTATGGTAGGCTCATGTACTGGTTAGTCTTTCTGTTAACATGACACAAGCTAGAGCCATCTGGGAAGGGGGAACCTCAATTAAGGAAATGTCTCATCAGCTGGCCTGTGGGCAAATCTTGATTAATGGTTGATGTAGGAGGTCCCAGAAAACCGTAGGCAGTGACACTCCTGAGGCATGTTATCATGTATATGTATATGTATATGTATATGTATATGTATATGTATATGTA